TAGTAGTTGCTGAATGTGAATCCAGAGGTTGTACAGGTCAGTGTGTGAGATTCTCCAGGCCTTTTAACCACTGGTTCAGATTCTGTCAGAGTCTGACCATCAACACCTGTCAAGAAGATACAAATCATGTGAAATAAGCAGATGACATAAATTAAAGCTATATAGAACATCAGTGAAGATGTTCACCTGCCCAGCAGATAGTTAACAGCAGCAATCCTGTCCTATAGTCCATCATGTTAAACTGTGTGTCCACTGTTCTCTGTCATCCTCTCTGCAGTCAGATAAGTAGAGGTGGAAGACATCTGAGTTTTGCATTGACTCCTCCTCACTGAGAGGAGAAAGCTAGACTGGATATATGAAACTGGGGAATTAATGTCCAAGAGTCAACCCTCCAAGTCAGCTGTTTTGATGTTTGGCTAGCATGTTTAATTTATGAAAATGATGTGATGTGAGTTGACACATATAGTTAATTTTGGTTTTGGCAAATACTATTGCATAATCCTTTGTATGATTCAGGAAAGAATGCAAGACATCATATCCTTGTATTGAGAGAAAATGTCCTGTCCCTTAGCCCCCTTTTAGTGTGGGATACTTTAAGTTAAGACCCATGGCACAAATGAACTCAAACAGAACTCAATAAAGAATTCCATCTATTAAAACTGCACTGGGTGATTTTGATTGTGGTCCTCCAATATGACACCATAAGAAATGTTGTTCATTATGTTATACTGCTGATTTTTTCACAAAGTGTTCATAAGTCATACAACTTAAAGGTTATCAGGGGAATGAAAACCTCACTTGGAATAGATGTTAAGAAAACTACTGAGAACTGTTTTCAGTCAGTAGAAATAAATTGTCCACTCAGACATACCTTGTGTAAAACAAAAGCTGCAATAAAAACTAAAAGCTTTGTCACTGTCTGCAGTCAGATTATTAAAGGTGGAAGACAACTACATTCTGCATTGACTCGTCCTGACAGGGAGGACAGAGTTTGATCTTTAGTTTGTTGCACTTGAGAATCAATAATGGAGGAGTTGTGACATCAGCCAAATAAATCTGATGCAGGCAAATCTGAATGTAATACTTGTTTAATTTGAATTGTCTTCAAAAGTTGAAAAAGTTTTTTTTTTTTTTTTTTAAATCATTTTTCAACAAGACAAACTAAAACCAGAAACTGTCTATGAGAAATGAAAAATATATGATGGCACAATTATAAAACTGAATTAATTTAAAGTAGAGAAATAGAAAATAGAACAAGAAAATGTAATTTCTGATCTGTTATGTGACTCTATGTGTTATCTGTATTTGTAATAGTAAAATACCTTTTTTTGGTGTTAAATTCTCATGTTATTTAATTCTCTGTCCACCAGGGAGTAACTATCCAACACATACTCACTCACTGGGAGCATGGCTGATGGTGGCGACTGTATAGTTCAATCACAACCTTGTGGAAGTTCTGACAGTTGGTTTAAAGGCACAGTTTCTGAATACTGGCTGTGTGCATTTCTCTGTGGAATGAGCTTTTAGATACTTTCACAGTATTTATACAGCACTTACCTGCTTTATAATCACACAAGAAATGGAATTCTCACTTTCCACAATATGGGACCTTTAATTATTGAAATGTAAGAGAAAATGTTTCACTCCTGCCTTATAGATCAAAAGATGTGGATATTATTAACCAGTACATTGTGGTAGATAAGCACATTAAAGTGACAATCCACAGCCCCAGCTGGTGCTTTCACATTGTGTTTGTTTCTCTGTATGTCGTACGTACGATGCCACACTGGTTTTAAGATCTCCTGCTGCCCCCTTTTGGTGACTGTAAAAATTAGTTGTTTTTGTAAAGCTTATTTGCTTACTTAGATGACTGTGACTGTCGAATCCCTGGCCATTCAAACCTGCCAAAGAAACAGATGTTAAAGGACACAAGTGAGAACGAGAGAGAAATAAACAGCAGAACATTAAATGTGTGCATTCTCTGATCAGTATTGCAGCATGAAGCAACGTACAGGGCAGACAGAGTGCTGTCAGCAGTACAGACAGTTTGTCCATCATCTTGAGACTGAAGATGTGAACTCAGATGCTGCAGAAGTAAACCCTCTGAAAGCTCTGGATTTGCATTGGCAGTTTGTAAGGGAGGGGCTTATTTGTATAATATATTTGATATATATCAAATACATCTCCAAGCTAAAAATACTTTGTGCTTTTTGATTCTTAACTCTTCATATATGGTATATAACACTGTGAGCAGGGCCCTTGAGTAAATTTAGCTTATAATACTTATGTCCTTTTATTTAAGTAAAACCCTTATTATGAAGTCTTACCTTTATTTCAGTACACAGCCTTTAGAAAACCAATTATTCTTGTAAAGCTGCTCACAGGGGAATTCATTTCAATAAGTTCAGTATGACAAATCTAGTGTTACAGGTTCTCTGTTTGCAATGAGCAGGGGCGGTCCTAGACCATTTGGTGCCCGAGGCGAGCTTTACTGATAGCGCCCCATCCCCACGAGAAAAGAACGCATGTCCAAATAATTGCACATTTATTTAAACAATGATAATACAAACAATATAACAATATGTGCAAAATAATAAACCTGTTCAATAATAAATATACAAAAAATAAACATTTAAACATATTTTCAACAGTCGTGCAATATCTGAGAACAAAAAGTGCACACTAAAGAATCAAAACAAAAAATTAAACTAACAATAAAACATTGTGTGCAAAATTAGATACTGTAAAATGTGATTCATATAACCTATTAATCAAAATATAATATACAAAATAAACAAATAAGGTTCAATTTCACCCCAAGTGAATAGAATAATATATTTTACTTCACACTAATATCACACTTCATTCACAATGCAATCTTTCTGGCCTTCCTTGCCGCAAAGTCATCAATAACCTCCTGAGGGTGAGGTTGGCAGGAAGAGCAGCATGCTCTTGTTGTGTCTCTTCTGGTGGCTCTAGGTCCATAAACATAGAGAGAACACACAAGAGCAAATACATTGACTGGATGAGACATGGCACAACATATTGTCATTTTCACATAAGTCAATAAATTTTTATCATCACAAACATTCACTGACACATTAAACTCACCTGAGGAAACCGGAGCAGCTGAGGTGCATGGCTGTTCCTGGTCTGATGATTCAGCTGCAGGTGGTCCCAAATATTTTAATAGTGAATCTAAAATGATATAACAAACAAGTGTATTATCAACATGGAGTAAATCATTTCCATTTTTCAAATGATATTATTATTAAGTTGCTAAGCATTTTAATTTTGGCATTCTTTTTATATAAATTCACTTAAGATGTGTCCGAAATCACTCACTCATTCCCTACTCCCTAGTCACTACATAGGGAGTCCAACGTAGTGGACTATATAGGGAGTAGTGGGTGACACAGCCTTAGTCCCATATGCTCACAGCTCTATGTGCATACCTCTCTGCATAAACATAACTCTACCTGTATATATCATTTATTATTATTATTATTATGCTCAACTTATTTGATTCAATATTCCATCAGTATGTAACTTATACTTATCTCTGTTCATCAGTATATAACATATGCTCATCTTTTGCACCTCTGTCTATAAAGTCCACATGTTGATATCCTCATCTGCATATGAGGCACTGACTCACTCAGCACTTTACTAGTTTGCACTCTGGTTAGATGTAAAACTGTATTTCACGGTACTTGAACTTGAGAGTAAAGTTAAAACTAATCCCAAACTGAATCTAATCTAATTTTGCTATATGGACAGTAATAATAGACTTTTCACATCCACTCAATTTTTTATTTCATAGCACACAATGAGATGCAAAGTGCTAACGTTATATACTGTAGCTAGCATCAACTTGTATAGTGTTTTTCTCGAGAAATAGCCAGCCAGTGAAGGCCAACCCAGGCCAGCAGTCTGAACCAGTCTTATTATGACAATATTGGGCCGACTGCATGTTAATAACGACCAAACCTAACCTTGCTACTTAACGTGAGCTTACGAGTAAGATGACACGATGCTACTGCTAGCTAGCATGATTATATCCTGAATGCTCTGTGAATTTAATAAATATATAATTAAAATGATGTAGCTTTCTCTTGTGCACGTTTCTCCTGCTCTTTCTCTCTTTTCTGCGCTTTCGAAACTGCGCCCATTTTCCATGGACTGTAGCTGTAACCATGGTAACCCGTCGACACACAGCCGACCGACCGACTGCGCATCAGTGTGCGCGCTAGCATGTTGTGACGTGACGTGTAACAGCTAAAGGTCACGTCAGAATTGTCATTTCTTTTGCTTAAGTTGAATTTATTTTTTATGTCAAAGTATTGTTGTAGATAGAGGGATGGCAAAAACTGTTGAAGAAATAAATAGACATTATCATTTTAATTATAATGTTTTTCTCGCCGCATATTTGGCGCCCCTCACTAGGTGGCGCCCTAGGCAAGCGCCTATGTCGCCTGTAGGAAGGACCGCCACTGCTCAAGCTGCTCAGGAACTGAAACCTGTGTGACAAAATGCAAAACACTAAATGAATTAGCTTAGATGCAAACTAAAGTAATTTATGAATTACCTGTTGAAGGCTCATTATCACCACATTTTACAGATATCTGTTTGTAGTTGTTGCACAAATCAATAATAATCAAATAGTATGCAGTGTGGCTTATAATTTGTTTTTGTTGTTGTGTTCTTGGTTTATTATTGTTTAGCTATACTAAGTTTTATTTCCAATTAATTTTTTTTACAGAAAAGAAATGAAGAAATTGTAACACATGAAGGCAGAGGTTTATTGGTGCCCACAGAGACCTTTCATCCCTGAATAACTTATTGCATGAAATTATATCTCATAAAATGTAACTTTAAATCCAGTCATACATCAGTAAATGTCTATGTGTTGTAGCAGTTTGAATTCATGGACCTGAAGACATTAATTATTTGAGACAGTGCAGGGATATAATATAGTATATAAAAGTACTGTAGGATTTTGTACAGCTGCTCAACCAACTCCAGTCACTGTGGCTCTCGAGCACAATAATAAACAGCAGAATCTTCAGTCTTCAGACTGTTCATCTGCAGATACAGCTGCTGTCTGCTGTTGTCTCTGGAGATGGTAAACCGGCCTTGAACTGACTGAGAGTAGTAAGTGCCACTGCCAGTATCAGCAGCAGCGATCCACTCCAGTCCTTTTCCAGGAGCCTGTCTGACCCAGTTCATATGATAGCTGCTGAATGTGAATCCAGAGGTTGTACAGGTCAATCTGTGAGATTCTCCAGGCCTTTTAACCACTGGTTCAGATTCTGTCAGAGTCTGACCATCAACACCTGTTAAACCAAGAAAGATGCATGTTATTTGTAACATTGGTAGTAAAAATTTAAATATGTCAACTAAAGATCAGTGAAGATGTTCACCTGCCCAGCAGATAGTTAACAGCAGCAGTCCTGTCCTATAGTCCATCATTTTAAACTGTGTTTCCACTGTTCTCTGTCATCCTCTCTGCAGTCAGATAAGTAGAGGTGGAAGACACCTGAGTTTTGCATTGACTGCTCCTCACAGTGTGGAACTGGATTTGACTTGGATCTCAGTTGATGTTTGGTGAAACAGCAGAATGAATGTTTACTGTACATTAGTCATTCCTCCAAGAGTCCATCTTGCATGTTTCAGTATAATTTGTGCAACAGGTTGACAAAACCTGGGTATCAATAACAGTCAGAATACATTTGAGAATATTAATTAAGCATTAAATACAGGAATAACATGTAACTAATTCCATAATTTATATTTCTGATTTGTAAAATCCACTGTATGTATGATATTATTTTTCTATATAATAATGAACTGTGTTTTATTCCTTTCACTTTTTCAATAATTATTATGTCTGTTTCTGTCTTTACTGTAACAGTGAACTGGTCTTGAAATCATTAGTGGTCTGAGGGCTCCTCCTCTGGTGGCTTCATGTTACAAGTGTTCAGGAACTGAGGGGTTTTTGTTCAGGTCTACTGATGGTTTGTGTCACTGTGTCTCTCTGGCACAGTAATACACAGCAGAGTCTTCAGGCTGCACATTCTGTCCGTTTAGAGTCACTGTGTTACTGGAAGAGTCTAAGTCGATACTGAACTTGTTCTTCAGTGAATCTTTGTAATATGAAGCTCCAGTATATCTCATTCCAATCCACTCCAGTCCTTTCCTTGCAGGCTGTCTGATCCAAGCTGTGTGATAGCTGTCCAGAGAATAAGAGACCTGACAGGTGATGGTCAGACGTTGACCTGGCTGCACAGTCACAGAGGCTGGCTGTGTCAACTGTTCACACTTCACACCTGTTAAAAAAGAAAATGTTTTGTAACAAATGATCAGGTTATACTGCAAAAGAAGAACTAATGATTTTGACAAATCCAGAGAGACTCACATCCAGCTGCCAACAGCAGCAGCAGAGCTACAGAGAACATGGTTTATGTTGAAACTGACGTGCTGTGAACTCCACTGACAGCCTGATGGGAAGTTTTTATAGCTGAGTAACAAGGAAGGTCACTGAGTTTGCATAGAATCAAACATATGAAGCATCAATGTTGGTCTAACTGGAGCCAATAGAAGAGTCTGTTGACTGTTATTATATCTGCAGAGTGAAAACATGCCTGGAAATCACCTCTGCTTTACATATGATATTTTAACTTTATTACACACTCAACTCTACACACTAACATTTTGAAAATTAAACTTTACATTTAAAGTCACAGAAATTAAAAAACTGTAAACTTTTCAAGTGTATTAATGTTTAATGCCTAAATGTATTGTATTGGCTACATTTCCATATTAAAACATGTCAGTTGTATAACTGCAACAATTATATTGATAATTATTGATATTCTTAATGTGAACATAAATCATGGATAATGGAAAATATATTCATTAAAATCAGCAGATGTTTGAAGACATACAGAGAAACTTGGAGCCATCAGCCACTGGAGTTGCTGATGATGTTTGTAATGAGGGAAGAGTTTGCATAGAGCTTCCTCTACAGGTTTAAAAGGGAACATGGCAGACAGATGATCTTAAAATAGAAAATAAAATGAATGATTAGTTGGTGTGTTTTTAATTGAATGATAAACGTTTTTTGTTGTTGTTTGTGTACAGAAAAAGAACAAAACTTGTTTTCTTCTCCAAGCTTCAACATACAAGAGCACAAAAAACATGTTTTACGATAGTACTTTTCAGGAAATGGTTTTATAATGCAGGGACAAATATTCATATATTGTTCAAAATATATGAAATGTGAAATACAGAAAAAAATTACATGGAAAATATAATAAAACATATAATTTCATATATATACTATAGAAAATACTTAATTCTCGCACTATTGGGCTGTTGTTCAGCTGTTGAGGAGTTACTTTGAATGAAGTTCAGTGGAATATGTCAAATATTCCAAAATATATACAGTAATATTATTTCTACATTTATATGCCTGTTCTAAATATTCTTCTATTCAAATGTAAGTGGTTCTCACAAAGGAAATGTATTGTATCATTTTCTTGGACTAGTTGAAGTGAGGACATTAATCATGAGAGATTATTGTGGTAAAGATGAGTACTGTAGGATTTTTGTACAGCTGCTCAACCAACTCCAGTCACTGTGAGTCTCGAGCACAATAATAAACAGCAGAATCTTCAGTCTTCAGACTGTTCATCTGCAGATACACCTGCTGTCTGCTGTTGTCTCTGGAGATGGTAAACCGGCTTTTAAATGATTGAGAGTAGTAGATGTTGCTACTGTCATAAATACCAGCAACCCACTCCAGTCCTTTTCCAGGAACCTGTCTGACCCAGTTCATATGGTAGTCACTGAATATGAATCCAGAGGTTGTACAGGTCAATCTGTGAGATTACAGACACTAGTTGCTGAGTCAACCTAATGTACAGCTCAGTAATAGCGTTAACTTACCTTACGTTGTGATAATGTAATTGTTCTTGCTTGTGTAATAACGGTAGCAGTTGAGTGAGTGGTAACAGCCTTACTGTCTTCAGAATATAATAATTTAAAAGTTATAATGCAGCCTAACTTCTGGTCACAACGCGTGTGTGTAGGTCTGTGTATGTTTGTGTGTGTGTGTGTGTGTGTGTGTGTGTGTGTGTGTGTGAGAGAGAGAGAGAGAGAGAGAGAGAGAGAGAGAGAGATGACTGGTCTAAGAATGACATGTAGGCCTATTTTTTACTGCTATCAAATGTCAAAACGGGTCAATTTGGACCCAAACAGTATGTAAGGGTAATGAGCAGTCTAAGTTTCAATTAATCGAAATGTATGTTAAGTTCTATGTATGTGTTTACATAATACATAAATTCACTGATATTATTTTAATTCCAGAGAGATGCTCATCAAGGCAAGGTGATGATTGCCAGAGGGAAAAGTAAGTTAAAAAATATATAGCCTATACTACAAAACATTTTAAGGAAGCAATAGATGAATGTTTAGGAGGTATTTATATGAATCATACTATTTGCCCAATTAAACAATCCTGATCAGTCTGAGAGACTGAATGAGATTGAATGCTTATCATAGCTACCATCCTTATCTCTCATCTGGTGTTTCTTATCTAGTTGAGAACTTATTAGACTAAAGAAATTTAATAAACGTGACCTGTCCTGTCCTGGCAGTTTTTGCAAAAGGCCAAATGCAGAATTTGCTGAGACTGGCCTGCCACAAGATCTTTGGAGCCAGTGAGTATTCATGTTATCCTGACATAAAGACTGTGAATGGATAATGTGCATACTAGTGGCCATATTACTGCCAGTTTGTCAGCACAAAGACAAACAATATTGTACTCATCTATGCTGTGTATGAATCCAGTGGTGCCAAATGGTTAACAATGGTTAAACAACTTCTTTCAAATATGAAAATGTACATAGTGGCTCAAGCATGAATCACATTCCACACATAAACATGAATTCCTGTTTTCTATGACTTTTCCATCATGCTGGCCAGTAGTATTTGTAACACAGTAATGTAAGTTGGCTAGTCATTCCCCAAAGTTATCCAGGAAATAGCTCTGCAGTCCAATTGCCACTTTAACATCCTTTCTGAGTAAAAACCTTTAATTATAATGTCTCATCAATTTAAATGAAGTTTGTTTAAAAGATAAGTTCCCTTTAAATTAAAAATCAGTCATTACCTAACCCTTATGCTGAAAGAAGGTCAGGTTCTTTTTTTCAATTCACAAAACACTCCTGGAGTTTTACATGAAAACAGCTTGCCACATCCTCCCAAACAACTGTAGTCAACAGCGGCTTTGTTTCAAACGTTAAAAAACAACTTTACAAAAACATAAAAAGGTCTTCATACTGCTTGTCTATCGTAATCCAAGTTTTCAAAAGTCCAGATATGCCAAATTGTCATTTACACCATGTGTTTGGCAGAAATCTTCACTGTAGCATCTTAGCTGGGAGCTGCGTTGACGTACACACTGTTTGATCTATGGGTACGGGTTTGCTTGACCACAGTGCAGAGCTAAGAACCTGAGGATTCTTCAGTTGTTTTTTGCATTTAAACGTAGTCACTATTTTCTGCAGTTGTTTGGGAAAATGCTACAACACTGATTTCCTGTGAAACTCCAGTAGTGTTCATTTAAAATGAATTATAAATACAGTAAAGACCTTTCAGTGATAGTTTCTCTCTGTGTGTGACCCCTGCAGGAGCATCAAAGATCCAGACAATTACTGGCAATTTGGAGGAGGATTCAGATTTTTCTGCTTTTTCTGCTGTGTTGCACCTCTGTTACAGATTCATTTACCTTTTGTGGTATGTTTTAATTTTACTTAATACACTGTATAGTTAGGATTCTTAATTAAAAGACTGTAATGCTTGTCCACAAATGTTATCAGAACTACCTTATACAGAGCCCCCAAGGGTTAGGAGAATGAAGAAGAAGAAGACCACAACTCCCTCAGCTCAACAGCACAATTTGTTGCTTCCTCCATCCATTTCAAAGGTGTAATCTTGACCTCATTTTGATAGAAATGCTAACAGACACACATGTTACACACATTGAGAAGTACCATCTTTAGTTTTTCAGTTCTTCCTGGGGGGCTCTAAAGAACTGTTTGTGAATAATTGGTTGATATTGTAAATTGACATCTGAATACAATAAATACGAGTGTTTTAGAATCTATAGTGATGTTTACTTTATTTGTAGTTAATTTCCCACGACATTTGAATTGAAACAGTGAAAATCTTTAGCTGTATCTATTATGTATTGCTTAAGTATGTTTTCAGTTGAGGATATTTCACAGTAATTTTGAAGACCATATGTTGGTGTGTGATCATAATAATTTATCAAAAATCTCTAAAAATAATCATATTTTCCTGCAGAACTTTTAGCATTGTCCCTTAAGTGGAGGTATTTGATCATAACTACTTGGGAAAAATCTGTAAAATAACGGTATTTTCCTACAAAACATTTAGGATTGTCCCTTTATTGAAGGTGATTGATCATAATTATTTGTTAAAAATCTTTAAAATAACGGTATTTTTCTGTAAACATTTTAATGTAATTTTCTGTAAATTTAATGTTTTTACACATTATTTGAATTAGGGTATTTTACTTTAATTTTATGATGTTTGGCAGCCATAGCTGCCAAACATTGACCGTTTTTTTACGAGTTTTTTTCTTACAATGTGAAGTGTGAGCTGGTAATGGAGCTCTGCAGTCAGTGTTCATCTTCATCAGTCTTCCTTTGGATACCCAGACTGTCCTGATGCTGCAGCTGTCTCTGTCCTCTAAGGGGGTCGAGCAACACCTTAGCTTCATCAGCCCACCTTTAAAAAAAGGAGAATTTATTTTTATTTTTAAGGCACAACATAAAATAAAGTGTAAAATAATACAAGTACAACAACTAATTGTTTAAAAAAAATATTAAAAAAAAAAAAAAAAAAAAAAAAAAGGGGGGTTGGGGGGGGGTTTTTTGTAAGTAAAATGTAGTGAGGTGTTTTTGAAACAAACCAACACAAATTTCTAACTAATGGCAGCAGATACACACACAGGACATTTAATGTGACGCGCAGAGGTCAAGTCTACGGTGGTGCAAAAGTCTACGGTCACCGTAGACAGTTCCGCCTTCTGGTTGGTCAATTCTCACCGTAGACTACCAATCGGATCGCACAATCTGACCGTAGACTACCAATCATATCGTCTCCCGGCGTCATGTGACTGACCGTAGACAGTTACGGCTTCTGATTGGCCCAGAGTCTACGCTCGGTTACTCTATGCAGATTAGTATTTTCCTCCGGCGAGCGTACAGTATTGGTAAGACTGAATTAATAAACTAATGTGTTATTACACTCGCTCACTACTCACTGCGCCTCATACGTACATAAATTAATTTATTGTAACACTATTTATATTGAGCATTGTCTTTATCGATAGACGGGACGTAGCGTTAATGTTAGCATTAGCGCCTAGTGTAAATAAATATTTATTATGTGTGTGTATGTATGTATGAATGTATGTATGTATGTATGTATCAATGACCTGTTGTAACCAATGTTCATTGTTATATTAGTAATTGATAATAACAATAATAATATTATAATAATAATCAATCTCAATCAATCAATCAATCAATCAATCAATCTTTGTATAGCACCAAATCACAACAAAGTCATCTCAAGGCACATTGAGCAGATCTAGACCATACTCTTCAGGTTTAAATAATATAACAACAACAACAACAACAACAACAACAATAACACGTCTGTCTTTGTTGTTGTTTTTGTTGCTTTGCTGTATCTATAAGTGTATTTCAGTATCTCCAGAAGAGAGATGGCGACCCCACCACAGATCAGGGTCGTCAACCCAGCAGCCCCTGCACATCGCCAACAGGCTGCACTGACGGCGACCAGAGAGGCCCGTAGTTATCGGGATAAGAAGGTGGTCTTCCCCAAACCTCCACAGGAGCTGCTCTTCCAGGCAACGGCCCTGGCCCACACAGAGAAGCTCCTTCAGGCCGAGGGTATCCCTGTGCCATCCCGTCAGCTGTGCCTGGGAAAGCTGGTGGTGCCATTTGGCCAATACCAAAATGCACCATTCCACTGGCTTGTGGCAAATGATGTGGGCTACATGAAGTAGTAAGCATGTTATATTTAATACCATTGTAGACAATTGCACAAACTGTGGCTATTATTGGTGTTTATTATTCATCTTTTCAAAGTTTAGTTGCTCATTATCACAACTGCAATGATATTGATGTCAGTACTGAGTTGGTGTTTATCCTTACAGTGTGATTGACAAGCACAGGTTAGAGGTAACAAACCCCCAGAGAAAGGGAGAGATTGGGAACCAGTGGGTGAAAGATTACCTCACAGAATATGCGGAGAGCTTCCCACAAGTCTCCAATCTCCTCGAGGCCAACGTCGACAGGTGTATCTACGGCCAGAAAGGGTTCGAGGATCACACCTTTCAGGAGATGTGGGAACTCTACCGGCAGCACCAAGCCATAAAGAACAGGCCAGAGGAGTTTAGAGATGAGCAGCGGGAGCTTATAAAGAAGGCAAACAGTTCTGTAAGGAGATGGCTTAACACACCTGTGACACACATCACCAGCGCGCAGATGAAAAGATTCCGAAAATATGTCAACGAGAAAGATCAAGTGAGTACTGGCTTGATTATTTGTTAGAAACAGGATTGAAATTGTTCGGATTAGTGACATTTTAAGCACTTGACCTAAATGTGCTTGTTTACTTTTGATAATTAAAAACTGGTACGTCATAACATCTAGATAATTCATTTACCTTTTTTATTCCAGCAACTGCATGCCAGCACCTCCAAGTGTGATCCTTCATCATGGCCAGGTGATGAAGCTGAACTGGTGGCTGCAAGTCAGGCTGTGGAAGGTGAGATACAGAGTTAATACACATCAAATGGTTTGGGGGGAAAAAAATCACAATATAAATAATACTACTTTGTTTGGTCTTATTTTTTAGACTTGCTCAAGACCCCTGTTCAGACTAAACTGCCTGCATCCGCTGTCCGCTCTACTCTGCCTGCTGCTGCTGCTGCTGCTGCTGTCCAGCCAACACTGCCTGCACAAGCTGTCCACTCTACTCTGCCTGCTGCTGCTGCTGCTGCTGCTGCTGCTGCTGTCCAGCCAACACTGCCTGCACAAGCTGTCCGCTCTACTCTGCCTGCTGCTGCTGCTGCTGCTGCTGCTGCTGCCTCCGTCCAGCCAACACTGCCTGCACATGCTGTCCACTCTAAACAGCCTGCTGCTGCTGCTGCTGCTGCTGCTGCTGTCGTCCAGCCAACACTGCCTGCACATGCTGTCCGCTCTAAACAGCCTGCTGCTGCTGTCCAGCCAACACTGCCTGCACCCGCTGTCCGCTCTAAACAGCCTGCTGCTGCTGTCCACTCTTCTCTGCCTGCTGCTGCTGCTGTCCGTACTGCACAGTCCACTAGCCAGCCAGCCAGTCATGATCTCCTCTTGGAATCCCCTCTCACTGACTCCCCTGTAAGTGATATTCACATTATATGCAAAGAATGTTAATTGGTTTAACATGTTTTGTAACTGCTTGTATATTCTAACATTACTTTGTACACAGCAATAACCAAATGCTTTGTATGTATTATCTGTGTTGCAGGTGGAGCTGGAGGGTTGGGTGCGTCTGTGGGAAAACCCCAATGGCATCCCATCTGCCGACATTTCATGGCTTAAAGAGGACACTGAAAGAGGGCTTTTCACCCCCATTCAGATGTATAAGGATGTCAATGGTCTGGTGAAGAGGCGACGGGTGATGAAGTCAGACCGTATGTGGTTTTATCCGCCAGAACCTCCCGGCTATGTAAAGGGGGCTATACCCCTGCCACAGCTCTTTTTTCGGAGCCGCGTCTTTGTGTGGCGCCCTGTTGGAGTGTGGAAGTGCTCCCTGAAGTGTCCTCGAGGGGATGAGTGTGAGGGCAGAGGAAAGAAGGTGTACCTCTACAAGTCTGGCTACCACACCAGGGTAATACTTATTTCCAGTTAGATTGGTTATTGTTATTTATTATTATGTAGATGAACTGTCACAGAAGGAACACAGTAGAAAATAATATCCTGCTATTCAACATTATGTTACATTGCAGGTACGTCACATCTGCGACGTATCCAGTTGGTACAGCATGCTGACGGAGGTCCTGTGCTGTGGACCATGCCTCAAAGCAGCCAGGGGCGGCAAAGGTGGCAAAATGGGTCGGTGCATGGCGTGGGATCAATCCATTTTATCCCAACTTAGCGAGGCTCATCAAGCTATGTTCCCTGCCATTCTCACCTCCAAGTGAGTATAGTCAACATATGTGCATTTAACAAACTTTAAAGTCGTCACTCTAATAAACATCAACACAATGATTGTGACTCTACTTACAGGCGTGGCGTGGATAGGAATGTTGTGCGCCTTCTGAGGGACCGGACCGAAGGGAACACCATGGTCAAGGTGTGGCGGCAGATACAGGAGAATCACACCGAGTTGTACTTTCAGCGCAAGGACCTGTACACCACACTCCTCATGACTGTGGCTGAACCCGGAGGTATTGTGTCTGCGCTCGGACACACGTTTCAGCCACCGCCTCCTCCGAGAGAGCTTCCGTCCGCGCGGCTCTTGCGCCACGCCTTCCTGCTGTCAGAGGCTGACAACGTGCAGGATTATCGGAGCCAGATCCTCTCCACCTTTGGCACTGTGCTGAAAATGGATTCCACCAAGAAAGTATGTAAATCAAAACGTAATGCTATACCCTCTGATGTACTGATGTGTTGTTAAGTTTCTGTTTGGTTTTCAATGAAGCAAATGTTCACACAAAATGTTTAAGGGAAAAAAAATCCCCTTTCCATATAATCTAACAGATCAAATAATGCAAACTTGACTTTTTAAAAAGGTGGTGAAGAAGCTGTCTGGGGAGGCTAAAGGCTCTGCTGAGTGGTTCACCAGTATTGGAAACGAGCACTCCCAAATAGTTTCATTCGTGCTGACCTGTGAGGAGTCAACAGAGAAGCTGCAACCCATGTGCCACGCGGTCGTGGAGAGGTTCCGGCTGGCAAATCAGCCAGTCCCGAAAATATTGTACGTCGACCGTGGGTGTTGCTCTTCGCGCGTCCCGACAGCGGTGGAGTCTTTGTTCCAGCCGTGGGTGGACAGTGGGATGGTTGTGCGTCTGGACATATTCCACTGGATCCACCGCTTTGACGCAGCCATACGAACAGAGTCACACTCCAAATATGCTGCGTTCAAGTCTGCTCTAGCTGGGGCAGTGCTGGCCTACAACCGCACAGACTTGGACCTGCTCATCAAGGCTGTCAGAGCCAAGGACCCGGCCAGCCTGAAGTCCGTCTCTGACAAGGACATGGTCCAGCTCTATGTTTCCAAGGAGCAGCTCAAACACCACGTGCGGAGAGTCACACTCGGGGCTCAAGAGACATTCCAACTCATCCAGATGGCCATTGAGGAGCTGAAAGGTCCTGCTGGGCTGGATGAGAGTGGAGTGAGCCTCTTCAAAACACCTGGTATTAAAGACAAAAAACTAATGTTTCTACAACATCGATAAAGTAAAGTGAACTAACACACTGCATTGATGTATCGATCTATGTATGTATGTGTGTGTTTTTACAGAGGCCATTGATGAGATGTGGGCAGGGCAGCAGCGACACCTGGAGTGCATTCAGGATCCGCCAGACATGAGTATGTACAGGGTGGCACGCAGCACAACAATCAACAACGTGGATGTGGCCTACTACAAATGTTTGCGTGGAAGCAATAGCCTGGAAGGATTCCACAAAGTGCTGCCGCACATGATTCCAGGTACACAGGTGTAGTTTGCATAGTACTTGAAACAAATTAAACATGTGACCCTGTCATTATTCAAATACTTATTTTTGTGTTTGTTTGTTTGTTTGTGTGTGTGTTTGTATGTATGTATGTATGTATGTATAATACGGATACCATTTTGACTACTGTTTGCAAGCCTAATTTCACTTCTGGGACATGAAATCTTTACTCAGGTCCCCACTGTGCTGCACGGCCTTATCAGGTTTACTTGATAAGTGGCATTGCAAGGTGGAACTCAGACAGGAGCTCAGATGCCGTGTTTGGTGGCAGAGGACGGCACCACAGGACATACTCGGCGCCGCTGATTGCCCGCCTCAATGCCCGCTGTCAGCAGCTCTTTGGAGAGGTTGTGGAGGAGAATTTCTGGGCCCCTGCTGATGTTCCCTCCGACGAGCTGCTCGGGTTGGAGTACCTGTTCAGCCAAAGCACGGGGGAATCAGGACCCTTCTCTCTTCAGGGCATCATTAACGATGGGCCTGATCCAGAGGACGAGGTGCTTCAGCCTGGGCAGATGGATCCAGAGGTGGAAGACGAGGCGTACCAGAGCGACGTGGAGGCACAAGCTGATGTCTTGGATGCCGCCCTGACGCACATCACTGTCACCAGTGAGGAAACTTCCACTGCTCACCCTCCGGCCTTTGTGAGTAACTGTGTGTCTGCTAGAATGAAATACAATGCACAGGTTGCTTGACAATGTACACATTTGAACGTAACACATTCATATGGCATTTTTTTTAACAGGAGGATGCCTGCAGTCCAAACCCTCTTCCTGGCTTTGGGAAGTTGGAGGTGTTCTGCTCTGTGCTGGTGGAGATCGGGCTGACAGAGGACAAGCTGTCCCTCACCACCGCGCAGAGGAACAAGGTTCTCGTTGCCTGGAACCAAGTGGAGGAGCATGACAAGCAGCCACAGAAGTTTAATCAGCTGTACAAGACGCACTGGGGCAACACCCTCTACTGCCGTACCAAGAGGGACGATCTGGTTGATGCTGCTGTTGTACAGAAGGTCAAGATGGCCAAGCGCTACGCACCAGCTCAGCAAAACATCAGCGTACACCACAACAGGCTGATGTACACGCTGGTTAAACTATTGTGGCTGCGCGTAAGTCATGGACCTCGCAGCAGTCCAGAAAAGCCCTCCATCTTGAAGGCGTATGAGAGGATCCAGCACCGGATTTTGTTGGAGGATCCGGTCTTGTGCAAAGCTGGCATTCCTCTGCCCAAGATAAACGCTAAGACTGTGCGGGACTTCATCCAGCGCCAAGAGAGGCTCCTCAACCTACATGCCACCAAACAACCGTCCACCATCCGCAAATCCACCTCCATCTCATCCGTAGCCCTACCTCCAGCACCGCACCAGCCAGCGGTCCTCCCTCCACCAGACTACCCCCTGATGGAATATGTGCCAACACCCAGCACAGCAGGGACAAAAGTCCTGAAGGGAAGGACCGACACAACTGTGTCATGGGCCCAGCCTCAACCACCACCTGTGCTACTGCCACCACAGGTGAAAAAAACCCCTGCCACCTCTACCATCAGCAGACCTGTGCCCTCCCTCTCTGCACCTGCAGCAGCCCCAGAGATTGCCGGCCCCTCCACGCGGCCCGTAATACCTGCCAGTCCGACAACCTCCGGGATGATTGCTGCATCGTCTACAGTGGTCCCTCCGACTCCGCCCAGTCCTCCATTCTGGGCGAGAGCAACACAGTACAAACGTAAGATGAGGGAACAGCCCACAGAGGAAGGAGGCAAGCTGTCACGGGTGCAGAAACTTCCAATCTGTACGCTCTGCAACAGCACAACACAGGGACATAAAAAATATAAAAAAAAGACTTTCTGCCCTGTCAAAATGATGTCAACATCTAAACAACTACACAGCAGAGTGTACAGCAGCTACGAACATTTCATGTCTGTTGTTGACAGTTTGGACAAATGAACTGTGAATATGCTGCATTGTACATATTGTAAATAGTTGCCATACTCTTTATATATTGTTGATAGTTGCCATTTTCATGTACATATTGTAAATAGTTGCCATACTCTTGATATATTATTGTAAATAGTTTCCATACTCTTTATATATTGTTGATAGTTGCCATTTTCATGTACATATTGTAAATAGTTGCCATACTCTTTATATATTGTTAATAGTTGCCATTTTCATGTACATGTGCTTTTATAAATTGTAAATAGCCTTCATTTTTACTCATTTAATTCTCTATCCTATTCAATTACATCTTTTAAGTTATCTAAACTGTAGTGTTTTTGGTGTAGGTAGAAATTCTACTTGCATGTCATTGGACAAATTGTAAATCATTTCAATTTTCATGTACATGTTCTTTTTATGACATTGTATTCATTATCGTGTTCAGTGATACTTTGTTTACGCGCTGTTTTTTTCCCTCCAAGTGTGTGTCCCTCATTTCATGCAGTTTGTTCAGTAAAGTGTTCAGTAACAATGAGCTGTGGAATATCAATTATTGAATGCAAAATTGGGGGTTTATTTGTTTATAAACAAATAGGGACACATACACAGAGTGCCAGATTACTTACATATAAGGACACGTGCCTACAGCACCATGATAGATACTTTTGCACGTTTAACAACAGCAACATTAAATTAGCTTTATTCTCTGCCTCAGAAATATTTAACTACTTTTCATCAGCCTGTCATAACATAATGAATTAAGATAGAAGTAAATGTAAATAAACAGCACTTAGGAAAGGAGATAAAGTATGAATTCAGTGACAAGGATAACGTACATGAATTATGTAGTATTTCCTTATACAGATATACCTAATACGGTGCTTGGAGCATCATTCAATGGCAGCGTCACAATAAATAGCTCATATAAATCTGATAAGGCCAATATCACACATGTGGAATACACGACAATAGTCTCTGCAACATTTGCTTTGAACGGGGGTGAGCTGTTTTGTAGACTCCTCCTGCGGTGTCCTGTATTACTCCTTCAAACTCTCCGAGTGGTGTGCCAGCCAGAGCTACAAAAAGGACAGAAGAACAAGAGAGAATTAAACAAAGCTTTCACGTATATAACACACACACACACACACACACTTAAGTAGGGATGTAATCAGCTTTAACACTGTAACATTTATTGAACATAAATCTAACAATGAAAGCTGTAAAGCCACGTGAGTTATGTTTCATTAGATTCAAGTTTTAGATATCAGAGTTGTCAGATTTCATCCCTCAATCCATCCAAACCAACAATGGCCTGCGGTATCGACCCTTGCCCGGTAGATGGCGCTGTACCCCTCACACTCCGGACGTGCGGCGTCGTTAGGCTGCCGGGAGATGTCGCTGCCGGGTCGGGGGGGCCGCGACCGTAGAACGGCGTCCAATCGGGTCCCTCGTCGCTTGCACTCCCCTACGCCCCATCCCCCTAACCCATGTTGTGACAAGTTCCCGGTGCAATAACAGACATTCAGCTGTGAGCCTCAGTGTTTATAATACAATAGGAGATTATATGAGTATAGGATGTTACACTGGACCTACACTTATATCATCAGTAATAGCAGTACTTCAATAATGCTAAATATACGGATCAGAAAAAACTTTTTTCGTCGCGGTTTGACTCCACAAAAAGCCTAGCGAGCAACCCCAGCTGCTCGGTGCTAATCAAAGTTACAGAATAATACTAAACTAATGAATCCCTGCAGTTTGACTATTTCTATCTCATGGTAGCTCTATCTTTATCATTCTTAAAAATCCTTACAGTTACTTCCTCTGCCGTTTCTCCAGGGACAGTTGGTATGAATCCCTCTTTCAGGAACAGTCTTTCTGCCAGTCCAGTGTTGTACTGACCGAGGTTGTGAAAACAGTCCGACACGAAGTGCTGCAGACACAAAAACAAAAAACAAAATACAATTATGACCCTGAAAAGGAGTATAATATGTCTCCTTTAAGCATGTTTTTCTCTAGCCAATGTCTACAGTACCAGGAAATGGTCAAAACAAACGTGCTGCTTGGCCAAAAAGGAGCTCTGTGCATCTGCACTCGATTGCTCTTACTGAACAACCTTGACCCGTCTGTGACCTTAAAAGTTGAATCTTGTGATTTGAAATTAGATTGAGAGAACTGAATTTGAATTGAGAGAATTGAATTTGAAAGTAAATGAAAAGTTGAATTTTTAGTGAGGCTAAAATACAGTTTCAGTTGCAAGTGAATTCAGATTCATAATATTATATTCAGTTTCAAGATAATTGGAATTCAGTTTCAAGTTAAACAATACAAATTCAAATTATGCAATTCAAATTCAGTGTTTAATGCAATTATTCAAGTTGAGCAATTCAGATTGAGTTCTAAATTATTAAAATTCAGTTTCTACTGTCACAAAAATCAGCCCATAATGGTCTCCTTTTAGAAACAGAGGAGTGACAAAATTGACACTGACTACCGTCCAGTGGTTTTATATAAACTCAACATTATTTTTCACTCTCATATCATCACTGACTTTATATTCCACAATAAGTTTCAATATTGTGTCTTTATTTTTTAGAAATGTTTAGTATTTGTAATATTTCAGCAGATTGTTGTCTTTAATCAGCACAAAGTGACCTTTATTGTGTTTCTTATGTGTTTGATATTTAGAAATAAAATATGAGGAACAGTTTTTTGGACTTTGTATAATGCATGGACAATAATTATTATTCACAAAAATATATGTTAAAATAAAATGTAATGTAGGATATAGAACAATTGATGTATAACATAAAATAAACATACAATATGAATACTATAAATGCTAAGGCTCCACCGGCCTGAAAGATGAGTACTATAGGATTTTGTACAGCTGGTCAACCAACTCCAGTCACTGTGAGTCTCCAGCACAATAATAAACAGCAGAATCTTCAGTCTTCAGACTGTTCGTCTGCAGATACACCTGCTGTCTGCTGTTGTCTCTGGAGATGGTAAACCGGCCTTGAACTGACTGAGAGTAGTATTTGCTACTACCACTGCCACTGTCGATATAAGAAATCCACTCCAGTCCTTTTCCAGGAGCCTGTCTGACCCAGTGCATCTCGTAGCTGCTGAATGTGAATCCAGAGGCTGTACAGGTCAATCTGTGAGATTCTCCAGGCCTTTTAACCACTGGTTCAGATTCTGTCAGAGTCTGACCATCAACACCTGTTAAACCAAGAAAGATATTCATGTCATGTGTTAAAATGGCACAAAAAAATATATATGAAATAAAGATCAGATATGACCTTCACCTGCCCAGCAGATAGTTAACAGCAGCAGTCCTGTCCTATAGTCCATCATGTTAAACTGTGTGTCCACTGTTCTCTGTCATCCTCTCTGCAGTCAGATAAGTAGAGGTGGAAGACATCTGAGTTTTGCATTGACTCCTCCTCACAGTGTGGAACTGGATTTGACTTGGATCTCAGTTGATGTTTGGTGAAACTGCAGAATGAATGTTTACTGTACATTAGTCATTTCTCCAAGAGTCCCTCTTGCATGTTTCAGTATACTTTGTGCAACAGGTTGACAAACACATTATTTAAGTTGGTTGACCCTTATTAAAGACCACATTATAGCGCACAGTCATGTAGAGTAAGAGAGTAACAGAGTAAGAGACCTAGCAGTGAAGGTTGGAGTTTGACTTAATGTACTGTCACAGATTCTTGTTAACTCAGAATTTTATATTTCACACCTGTTGAAATAAATCAGATGTGAAATCTACCTGTATACATGTTCTGCAATTATTCTTATAGCAACCGTCTAACAGAAGCTTTTTTAAGAGTGAAATGATCTTAGCCTCTGTTAATTCTGCCTCTCCTACAAGCATATAGAGTCAGCTGTTTTTCCCTCCTGGATGAGACCTCATTTATATGTAATCAGTTATGTATTTAACACTTGTTGTTTTATTTCATTCATTATGTGTTTAATTTGTGTCATTTCAATCATTACTTAGTAGTTACAATTTCTTATTTTAAAGGACTTTTGATATCCATACAAAGATAAATTTGTGGTTTTAAGAAAAAAAAAAAAACAGGGCATTTTGTGTTGCATTTTGTCTCATTAATATTAACAAGCCTCTCTTCTGATTGGCTGACTGTTTCTCAGTGACAGGCCAACCTGTAGCCGGTGGGTCGTGCCACTGCTCAAGCTGCTCAGGAACTGAAACCTGTGTGACAACATGCAAAACACTAAATGAATTAGCTTAGATGCAAACTAAAGTAATTTATAAATTACCTGTTGAAGGCTCATTATCACCACATTTTACAGATATCTGTTTGTAGTTGTTGCACAAATCAATAATAATCAAATATTATGCAGTGTGGCTTATAGTTTGTTTTTGTTCTTGTGTTCTTGGTTTATTATTGTTTAGCTATACTAGTTTTATTTCCAATTAATTTTTTTATAGAAAAAAATAAAGAAATTGTAACACATGAAGGCAGAGGTTTATTGGTGCCCACAGAGACCTTTCATCCCTGAATAACTTATTGCATCAAATTATTTCTCATAAAATGTAACTTTAAATCCAGTCATACATCAGTAAATGTCTATGTGTTGTAGCAGTTTGAATTCATGGACCTGAAGACATTAATTATTTGAGATAGTCCAGGGATATAATATAGTATATAAAAGTACTGTAGGATTTTGTACAGCTGCTCAACCAACTCCAGTCACTATGAGTCTCGAGCACAATAATAAACAGCAGAATCTTCAGTCTTCAGACTGTTCATCTGCAGATACACCTGCTGTCTGCTGTTGTCTCTGGAGATGGTAAACCGGCCTTGAACTGACTGGGAGTAGTAGATGCTGCTACTGCCACTGCTGATATAAGCAATCCACTCCAGTCCTTTTCCAGCAGCCTGTCTGATCCAAGCATTATCATAATGACCACCAAACCCTGAATATGTGCAGGTCAATCTGTGAGATTCTTCAGGCCTTTTAACCACTGGTTCAGACTCAGTCAGTGTTTGACCCTCAGTACCTGCAGACAGTTAAACACATCATTAGTTACTGTAATGCAGCCATATTGTCTTTGTATCAGGAGGTTTGTCAGACAAACAATGATTGTTCTTACCTGCACAGTTAATAGACAGGATGAGAAAAACAACCAAATAATCCGGTCTGATCATTGTAAAAGCCAGTTGTCTCTGTCCAGTCTACAGTGTGTATGATTTAGTCTCTGTCCTTCACTCTGCAACACATATGTAGAGATGGAAGAGATCAGAGTTTTGCATTGACTCCTCCTCCTCACAGAGAAACACACCACATCTCACACATCTCTGAAAAAAACAGGATTTTGATCATTTTATATTATAATGATTTTTAATAATTATGAATAATTACAATGTCCATCAAGTTATTTGACCTGATGTTTATACCAACTTGTATTTATTTGTATTGTTCTGCAGCATTTAGTAGTACATCCATATACTGGACATATCATGCATAAATGTCCAAATACATTCTCAACACCTGCTGTTAAAAATCAATAATGGGAACATTATTAACCATTATTATTGTAGAAATCAATATGTTAAATGTAAGACTGAGAAACTCGTAGTTATAAACCACAACATCAGCTGTTGTTTTCATTGTGTACATGCGTTTCTCATACTCTCCTTCATTTGAGTTATCCGACTTTTTTTTTTTTTTACAATTACAGGTTTTAATCCATTAGCTGATTGTCCATCCATGTTGGATACAATATCACATCTAAAAACAGGAACTTGGGGGAAAAAATCATTCAAATAAAAAAATACGGTACACTTGACAGTCAGTGTATTCATTCATGTGACCATTTGTTGTAAAATGCTTAATGCTCGATAATTTCACAAGGAAATGTGGTCAATACAGAGGATTCTGGGTATATCTGTTGGTTATTGGTAGTTTGTTTCTCCGTGCAACCATGTAGAAATTAACAAAATTAAGATATTTTTCTTCACCTCAGAGAAAGAGAATTTTTAATCATGGATTAAATGATTATTAATAAAAAATCAGCATTGCAAATACATGTATTACAGATAAAATGTAATGTTCACCCTGGATGTTGTAAATAGAGGAAGTAGTTTTTGTATGACTGTCCTGTTATTGTCTCTCACTGTGTCTCTGGCACAGTAATACACTGCTGTGTCCTCGGTCTTCAGACTGTTCATCTGTAGATAGACTTTACTGCTGGAGTCATCTCTGGAGATGGTGAATCTACCCTGGACTGACTGGGAGTAATAGATCGGAGTACTAGATGTGCTTATATAAGCAATCCACTCCAGTCCTTTTCCAGGAGCCTGTCTGATCCAGTTCCAAACTGAGCTTCCGAAGTTAAATCCAGATGTTGTGCAGGTGAGTCTGTGGGATTCTCCAGGTTGTCTAACTGCTGGTTCAGACTCTGTTATAGTCTGACCTTCTGCACCAGTTGAAACCAACAGAGCAACCAGTAGGAGTGTCAGCTTTCTGTGAGCCATGTTCACAATGCTTCTGTTTTCAAATCCACAGATCCTCTTTAAATATGATGGAAACTGGATCCCTGTGAGAATTTGTTTACAGGAAGCTCCTCCTACATCACATTCTGCTTTTATAGTGAAATTCAAGGTTTCGAACACAAAACAAAACAATTTAAACAACCTAATCATTAGCAAAAGACATCTGTACCTCCATGACTTTAACAGACTGCTGAGTAAATTTAGATATTTCGACTTTTATTCATTTTTTTTTAAAAGACACAGAAGATTTGTTCTCCTAAAACTTCACTGGCTTTAAAACAGTTTAATTCAGAAATCCTAAGATCATAAATAATTGTAAGATTAATTGATTTACTGATTAATTTAATTTTATATATTTACTGCAAACACAAGTAAAGTTAAAGCAAGATCATGTAAATGAGTTTGCTGCAGCTGGTTGAAGTCCTGGATTTTATGTTATGTTTTGCTTGTTTTTAACTTTTAAAGAATTCAGCATCCAAATTATGGCTGTTTGAAGTCACAGACATACAGAGAAACTTGGAGCCTCAAATGGAAATGAACTAGTTATAAACAGAAATGTGTGTGATGATGTACAAAATACTCTGGAAAATGTCTGCTGGCTTATCTGTCAAATACAGTATGAATGTGATGTTTTTATGTCACAAGAGGAAACAAAACATAATTTTCTTTTTTTTTTTTTTTAATTATCTCAATTCAAAGTCTGCATGACTCTGCATATCATTTTCACCTGCTCTCCAAACTAAATGAGACTTGTAAAGCATAACCACACAAATGCTGTTCATTTTCTCTGAGGAGTGGTTTTAATGAAGCTCTGTTATAAAGATGAGTACTGTAGGATTTTGTACAGCTGCTCAACCAACTCCAGTCACTGTGAGTCTCGAGCACAATAATAAACAGCAGAATCTTCAGTCTTCAGACTGTTCATCTGCAGATACACCTGCTGTCTGCTGTTGTCTCTGGAGATGGTAAACCGGCCTTGAACTGACTGAGAGTAGTATTTGGTGCTACCACTAGGTTTGCTGAGAAGAGAAACCCACTCCAGTCCTTTTCCAGGAGCCTGTCTGACCCAGTTCATCTCGTAGTCACTAAATGTGAATCCAGAGGCTGTACAGGTCAATCTGTGAGATTCTCCAGGCCTTTTAACCACTGATTCAGATTCTGTCAGAGTCTGACCATCAACACCTGTCAAGAGGATAAAAAAACATCAACTAAAAGAAACTGATGATAAAAATAAAAGTAATGTAAAATTAAGGTCAGATAAAATCTTCACCTGCCCAGCAGATAGTTAACAGCAGCAGTCCTGTCCTATAGTCCATCATGTTAAACTGTGTGTCCACTGTTCTCTGTCATCCTCTCTGCAGTCAGATAAGTAGAGGTGGAAGACATCTGAGTTTTGCATTGACTCCTCCTCACAGTGCGGAACTGGATTTGACTCTGATCTGAGTTACTGTTTCGTGAAACAATCAATCGATTAATAACATTTTGACAGAAATATAACACTTTAACAGATTAAAACCCCATTCGGAATAAAGTTAAGAAAACTGCTAAGAACAGTTTTCAGTCAATAGAAATAAATTGTCCACTCAGACATATAAACTCTGTTATCTTGAGTAAAACAAAAGTTGCAGTAAAAACTAAAAGCTTTGTCACTGTTTGCAGTCAGATTATTAAAGGTTGAAAAAAACTACATTCTGCATTGACTCGTCCTCACAGTGAGGACAGAGTTTGGTCTTTAGTTTTTTGCACTTGAGAAACGATAATGGAGGAGTTGTGACATCAGAAAAATAAATATGATGCAGACAAATATGAATGTAATACTTGTTTTATTTGGTGGTCTTCAAAAGTTGAAAGTCTTTTTGTTTTTTTAATCATTTTTCAATAACACAAACTAAAACCAGAAACTGTTTCTGAGAAACGAATAATATATGATGGCACAATTAAAAAAATGTATTAATGTTAAGTAGAGGACTAGAACATAAAACAAGAAAATTCCATTTATGATCTGTGATGTGACTCTATGTGTTATCTGTATTCAGTGCCTTAAATGCTCATTTTATTTAATTCTCTGTCCAACAGGGAGTAACTGTCCAACACATACTCACTCACTGGGAGCATGGCTGATGGTGGCGACTGTATAGTTCAATCACAACCTTATGGAAGTTCTGACAGTTGGTTTAAAGGCACAGTTTCTGAATACTGGCTGTGTGCATTTCTCTGTGGAATGAGCTTTTTGATACTTTCACAGTATTTATACAGCACCTACCTGCTTTATAATCACACAAGAAATGGAAATCTCACTTTCCACAATATGGGACCTTTAATTATTGAAATATGAGAGAAATTGTTTCACTCCTGCCTTACAGAATAAAATATGGGAATATTATTAACCAGTACATTGTGGTAGATAAGCACATGGAACCATAAAAAAGAGGAAGTGACAAACCACAGCCTCAGCTGGTGCTTTCACATTGTGTTTGTTTCTCTGTATGTGTAGGTACGATGCCACACTGGTTTTAAGATCTCCTGCTGCCCCCTTTTGGTGACTGTGAAGATAAGATGTTTGAGGTTTTTGTAAAGCTTCTTTGCTCACTTAGATGACTGTGGCTGTCAAATCCCTGGACATTCAAACCTGCCAAAGAAACAGATGTTAAAGGACACAAGTGAGAACGAGAGAGAAATAAACAGCAGAACATTAAATGTGTGCATTCTCTGATCAGTATTGCAGCATGAAGCAACGTACAGGGCAGACAGAGTGCTGTCAGCAGTACAGACAGTTTGTCCATCATCTTGAGATGTGAACTCAGATGCTGCAGAAGTAAACCCTCTGAAAGCTCTGGATTTGCATTGGCAGTTTGTAAGGGAGGGGCTTATTTGTATAATAGATTTGAAATATATCAAATACATCTCCAAGATAAAAATACTATTTGATTCTTAACTCTGCATATATGGTATATAACACTGTGAACAGGGCCCTTGAGTAAATTTAGCTTCTGATACTTATGTCCTTTTATTTAAGTAAAACCATTATTATAAAGTCTTACCTTTATTTCAGTACACAGCCTTTAGAAAATCAATTATTATCTTAAAGCTGCTCATAGGGGAATTCATTTTAATAAGTTCATTGTGACAAATCTACTGTTACAGGTTCTCTGTTTGCAATGAGGGATCAAATATGAGCATCAAAGCCATGTGACGTGAAATCATGATGTGTCTTGAATGTAAATAAAATCAAAATTGAAAGATATACAGTGCAATGATACTTCGACAGCCTGGGCGACCTTCTTCAGGTCAGCCAATGAGAGAAACAGCCTGATCTTAATAATAAGTGTGTTTCTCTCTTCACTGTAACAGTGAACTGGTGTTGAAATCATTAGTGGTCTGAGGGCTCCTCCTCTGGTGGCTTCATGTTACAAGTGTTCAGGCACTGAGGGGTTTTTGTTCAGGTCTACTGATGGTTTGTGTTATTGTGTCTCTCTGGCACAATAATACACTGCAGAGTCTTCAGGCTGCACATTCTGTCCGTTTGGAGTCACTGTGTTACTGGAAGAGTCTAAGTCGATACTGAACTTGTTCTTCAGTGAATCTTTGTAATATATGTTGGATCCAGCTCTGCTTCCAATCCACTCTAGTCCTTTCCCTGCAGGCTGTCTGATCCAAGCTGTGTAGTAGCTGCTAACAGAATAAGAGACCTGACAGGTGATGGTCAGACGTTGACCTGGCTGCACAGTCACAGAGGCTGGCTGTGTCAACTGTTCACACTTCACACCTGTTAAAAAGGAAAATGTTTTGTAACAAATGATCAAGTTATACTGCAAAAGAACTGTTGACTTTGACTAATCCAGAGAGACTCACATCCAGCTGCCAACAGCAGCAGCAGAGCTACAGAGAACATGGTTTATGTTGAAACTGACGTGCTGTGAACTCCACTGACAGCCTGATGGGAAGTTTTTATAGCTGAGTAACAAGGAAGGTCACTGAGTTTGCATAAAATCAAACATATGAAGCATCAATGTTGGTCTAACTGGAGCCAATAGAAGAGTCTTTTGACTGTTATTATATCTGCAGAGTGAAAACATGTCTGGAACTCACTTCTGCTTTACATATTATATTTTAATTTCAGTACACACACAATATTTTTTAGAAATTTTACATTTTTATCAACTGTAAACATTTAATGTCTAAATGTATTGTATTACAATAATCTTGTATTAAACATTACGTTAATTCTACTATAATATCAAACAACATTTATCATTATCATTATTGCTAATCTCAATGTGAATATTGTTACTACTCGTGGATGATGGAAAACATTTTTAAAAAATCAGCATTGCAAAAACAATGATGATGTGTACCCATTAAATAAAAAGGATGAAAAATGTTGTTTTCTATGAGCCATTGTGTTTATCATGTTTTTTAATGATGAAAACACATTTTAAATATGATGTGAGTTATTTTATTCACTGTCAGCACCTCCTACATCACTATGATTAACTTCAAACATATGACCACAGCTTCTTTGTAATGTAGAATTGTTTCTTCATTTATTTACTCATTGACTGTACTTACTAAATGCAGCCATGGTGAAACTTCAGTCTGATGCTGGTTTGCATAAAAGACTTTTAATGGTTGCAGTGTTTGCAGATGATCTATTTCTTTTCTGCTGAGAATGCAGAGGTCAGTCAGTGTCGAGTTTCGCTCTCCTCTGTTACTAAAAAGGACAATAATGTCTGTAAAATATGTTTTGATATTAAGTTATGATGAAAAGAGTTTTCTCTTCATACTAAAAGGAAACACTCAGATCTGGTGTTCTCATTGATCTTAACTGACACTTGAACTCTGGACTGAACTAAAGCTCAATACTCCTGCTGCTCATGTACACTGGATATCGTGAGAGTTGATACCTTTCTACCCTAAATAAAAGTCCTGCGTTTACTGGATTGAGCAAATTTTAAAAGGAAATATAAAGGAAAATCTTATCTTATCTTATCTTATCTTATCAAATTTTGAGGCATTGTTCATGCTTTAATGGTTACATGTTCTTATTACAGGCTTTACTAGAAATCCACTCACCCAAGATATATTGTTTTGGTTTGTATTCCTCCTTCTTTACCTTTTGTCTCTTTTTTGGGGGGTTGCTATCCAATACCACACACACCTTCACTACCCCTTAAAATATGATGGCGTCATGATCCTGTCCTGTCAGTAAATATTGTTCACTCTTAATGAAGTCTCTTCTGATTGAAATGAAGCTAAGCAGAAGTTCAATCAGGAAGACTATGCTGCTCATTTGTTTACATTCCTCTCTCCCTCTTCTCCTGCTTTCTCTGTAATCAGAAACTTAACTCAGTTGGTTTACTCAGTTAAACCAAACGGATTTCCACCATCTCCATCAGCCAATCATACTGTTGCTATCAAACTTTAAATATGTTCTCAGGTTGTGAGAAAACCCAGATGTTATTAAGATTACATTGTTACTCATTGTCTGTGGAGGTTTTTGTGCAGCTGCTCCACTGTCTTCAGTCACTGTGGTTTCTCGAGCACAGAAGTAAACAGCAGAATCTTCTGCTGTCAGGCTGTTGATTTGGAGGTACTGAGTGCTGCTGGGTACATCTTGAGTAAAGCTGAAACGGCTTTGAAATGAACTGGCATAGCTTGGAGTGTTTGTATTTGTGTTTATCCACCCAATCCACTCCAGAGCTTTCCCTGGCCTCTGTCTTATCCAGTTAATAGCATAGCTTGTCATGCTATAACCAGATGTGATACATGACATCTTCACTGTCTCTCCAGGTCTTTTCACCTCAGAGGGAGTCTGGTCCAGTTTGATCTCACTCCAAACTCCTGTAACCAAAGACATGATGATCATCTTACATAAAATATTAAACATTACATGTTGTTATATCAGAATTGATTTTCTTACCATGAATAGCCATTACAAATAATAAACTCCAGACAATCATATTTTCCATTCTAAAGTAAATTCTGCAGCTCACTGATTTCTGATCAAAGTCTTTCTAAGATTTATAAGACTGTCAGTTGTCCTGCCTAAAATGATTTCACAGTTTCTGTTGGTGTGATTATAAAGAAGGAAGAATTTGCATAGACCTCCCTCTACAGCAGACTGTTTGGCTGTCATTGGCTGTTTTGTGAAAAAGTGATAATTAAAGAAAGACATTTTATTTATTTAGGTGTTTAATTGTTATTCTTGTTGGATGATCTTCCTCACAGACCTTTATGACAGGAAACAAGGGGGAGAGGGAGAACAGGGAAACACAGGGAAAACAACTGAGGTCACGGCTGAAGGATTATCCTTTTAAGTCAAACACATTTAAATACTCA